CAAGTAAACAAACTAACGTAAAGTGTGACTTACCGGCTTCCGTAGCCCGCCGGTAAGTCACGCTTTACGTGTGGAAGCCATTCGCGGCAGCTCTTGTAGGTTAAAATCAAGACGTATAAAAAAAGTGCATAAAAAAAAGAAAAATATATATTTTTCTATTATTTTCGGGATCTAAAGGGATTGTTTCAAAGATCGACGTTGGCGACCACTGCTCTACAGAGTCCTCTTTTGTGGAGACCACCATGTTTCTGCGGTAGCCCAGAATGGACAAACCAAACACTGAACCTAGATGGGGCCTTTCACACTTTTTACGCTAAACACTGTTTCTCCTCCACTCTTGGAACAGGAGGGTGAGGCGACGGTGTTGCAATCAGCAACTACATTGTCAGATAAGAAATCCTACACACTGAACCTTTAAACACATACATAAAACATGTGCGGACCATAGACTGTAGGCAAAGGCTAATATTTGTAGATATGAACAGATGACGTGTTCAGGCTTTTAAAGGAACCACAGAGTTTACTATGAGTGAAGAGTACCATTTACTGTGTAGTTGTGTACAGAACAGTCTGCAGAGATACAATAGGACTGGATCTGGTTAAAATAGCTTAAACCCTAGCGGATCTGGCTGTGTGATCCATTGGTGATTCTAATCTCTGTATCAGGATCTTTGATACAACCTACTCTCTTACAGACTTTTATGATATACGACTCAAAAATATGTTGGAAATGTAATCATGTTACCGGCAATGTTTTATCCACTCCACGATGTGCGACATCCATATACAGCATAGAAAGGGGTCACTCATAGTGAAGGACTGATGCCCTCGGCAATAGCAGCAAAAAAAGTTCTGATAAACCGACACACTACCTGCTCAACAACAAACAGTGGACAAAGTTAGCAAATAACTGGTTGAACATAGTGGAGCATTTAGCAGCTAAACAGTCAGGAATTAAAGGAGTTGAGAGAGACCAAAAACAGCTAAAAGAGAGTGAATACTACAACTACATTCATCAGGTGGGCAGAAAACACAACTCCAAATGCTAATGTTGCTCTGTATCTGCTGGATGTGTAATTGTGAACATCTTTCCCGAACAATACCCAAGTTGTCTAAAACGCTGATTCTCAATGTGTGACTGTTTATTATTTAGGTTTTTCAAATTTTTGTTTCTTTCTTGCTTTATAGTTTTATTTTTCAGGGCTCTAAAACTGTGACTAAAACTCACGCTTCCATTGAGCTACTCATAACTTTGTCTTAAGGCAGGGGTCTTAAACTCCAACTGGCCTGGGGCCACTGCTGATTCATGCTCTCTTCTTATCAACTGATTGCAAACATTGGTAGACACCTTTGACCTTTGCCTTTATTTTGTGCCAAACTAATTTTTTAACCATCTAACCATATATGAAGTGGTTGTTGAAAATGATATGAAACAATTACAAAACATCATTGAAAAATAAACTTGAGGGCCGGATTATACTTTAGCCGGAGGAAGGGGATGGAGCATCACAAACAAATCTCTTTCACCTCCAATGTATTCAGGAGACAGCAGAGGCGGTTATCTGTAACCATCAACAAACAAAAACCAAAACTCTCTGTATGACTAGATACTACTGGAAGTGCAGTAATAAAAACCGGAGGGGGGGGTTTTGTGAACTGATCCTTTAATGCCATGTACAGTAGAAGACAGTACAGCTGCAAGGCAAAGAAAGAAAGAAAGAAAGAAAGACTGGATGTATTGAGAGAAATAGCAAGACAAGGGGGCTGGAAACTTTCAGGAAACAGAAAGTTAATGAAGCAGAGAGAAAGAAAGCTGAACGAACAGAGCATCAGGCAGATGACAGAAAGGAAGACATGAGTCAGAGACATAGACACTTTGAGTGAGAGTCAGCTCAGATCGCTGGTGTGGTTCAACATGTTTCCTGTGAGTGATAATAATAGCGCTGTGTGTTCCTCTCTGTGAGAAGCGTGGGAGGAGGAGCACCAATGCAACACGTGGGATGGCCGCTTGTTACTGTCACTACAGGGGAAACAGCAACATCCCCTTAACACACACACACACAAACACAGGCTCTCTGCTCTGACACGGAAACATGTTTATTTTTGTGCAGCTTCTTTGGAGTCCCACAATGCTCAATTTTTTTCCAAAACGCAACACAAGTCAATTCATACACAACATTGGTAGAGTAAAATAAATCTGAAATGAATAAAAATGAATAGTTGTGATCATAGTCACATCAAAACTGTAAATATTTTGTAGGCTTTTATGCAGGACCCTCTCTTGTGAAGGCCGACATGTTCACACAATCGAACGATGTGGTCACCACAGAAGGAGATGAGCTTTGCATTCATTGGCTGAAGACGCCGCTGGTGGTTATATGTAGTAGTATGTTTGCAGTGATAACTGCCTAGCAAGTCAAAAGTGGAAGATCATGGTTATACCGCAAGACACAAGTGAAAAGAGAAACAATTAAACTGAACAGAGAGAACAAATAGGGAGGAACAATTAAACCTACAAGTGAACAACAAGTGCTATATTAGTTGTTTTACAGGAAGAAAAGGTACAATCTCTCAATGCTCCTTTAAAGCTGCATTTACAAGAATCCACCAAGCCTGAATGAAAACAACCAATCAGAGCAGAGAAAGATGGAAAGATGCTTTAGGTTGGAGGCTTGAAGATTGTTGATTCTTATTCCCAGGGTGTCAAATTTCAATGCTGGGAATGAACAATTAACAATTAATTAATCTTCCTTGGCTCTGATTGGTTGTT